GGCTCCGGGCCCAGCCCCGCCGGCTGCTGGGTCACCGCCGGCTCCTTGCTCGGGCCCTTGGCGGGCAGCGCGGCCGGGCCCCTGCCGGCGCCCCGCGGCTGCTCCTTGTCAGCCTTGACGGCCAGGAAGGCGGCCAGGTCGAGGTCCAGCATGGTGACCCCGCCGCGCGGCGTGGGCGTGTTCTGGCGGCACTGCGGGCACGGGATCCAGCGCTGCTCGTTGCTGACCGCGTCCAGGCGCTTCAGGCACGCCTGGCAGAACGTGTGGCCGCAGTAGAGGCGGCGCGGCAGCCGCACGCCCAGGTCGTAGCAGGAGTAGCAGATGATGCACTCGAGGCGCTGGCTGCCCCGGCTCGGGGTGCGCGAGTGCGCCCCGACACGCAGAGCCTCCTCCGCCCGGGGGCTGCCGCCGGCCTGCGACATGCTGGGGAGGGGGGAGAGGAGCTGTCAGGGCACGGCTGGGGAGGGGGCACAGCGGTGGGATGTCACCCCCGAGTGCCCCCGTCCGGGCAGGATCCCCGCCCAACAGCCCTGCCCGCTGCCTGCCATCCCCGCCCAGCCCTGCTGGAGCACCACTGCAGTGGCACTGCCACTCCATCCATGGGGATGCTGTGTCCCAGTGCCACGGCGGGAGCTCTGCAGGGAACACGGGTTGGCCAGATGTCAGCAGTCCCCGGGGCTGGGGAGCAGGGGTGAGCAGGAGTGAGGTGGCTGGGGGAGCTGGGGAGCATCACTTGGAGACCAGGCAGTGGCACAGCCCCACCCTCCCCAGCCCCGGGCAGTGCTGGCACAGGGGGTGGCACAAAGGCTCCTGGGGAGGGGTCTGAGGGGATCCAGCCTCATCTCAGGTGGGGTCTGGTACACACCAGTATATTTGCAAACTTCTAGAGGCCACCAAGACTCTGTTCCTTCTCCTCGGGTGACCTCAAGTGTTTTGGTGCGCACGGGTACCCCTCTCTCCCCTCCTCCCCGTTCCCCCATCCCTACCTGTCCTGAGATGCTTTCCAGGGCCTCGGGGTTGGTGGCAGAAGGGCTGTGCTGTCCTGGGAGCTGTGGCAGTCCTGTGGGGAGCATCGAGGGGCTGAGCTGCCAGCCAGGTCCCTGTGGCTGCCGGTGGCCGTGGTAGTGGGCAGGGGCTCACCTTTCAGGGACAGGCGCTATTGGATCTGCTGCAGGGAAGCCAAGCCCAGGAGATTGGGTTACAAGCACCTGGGTAACAAAGACCTCTGAAATCTAAACCCAGGAAGGGTCATTAACCATCAGCCTGTGCCTCACTGACAGAAGGAACCATCCCTGGGAGACCAAGGAGCTCTGGGCTCCTCCCTGGCCAGAGAACTCGGATCTTGTCTGGACCTGGGCAGCAGCAACAGAGTCTTCCATGTCCTGGGCCACGCTTCAGAGCCAAGAACACCCGGGCAGAGGCGGCCAGCAGAGCTCCCCTCGCACTGCAGCATCCCCAGGTGGCCTGGGCTGTGGGGACAGCTGTGGCATGAGCGGGGGGCACGGTGGGGTGGCAGGGCTGGGACTGCTGCAGGGACACCGGGGCTCTGTCCCTGTCGGGGCTGGCAGTGCCCACACGGGGGGTGTGCTCCCGCCTGGAGCCTGGGGGTGACTGTGAGCTGCCCTGCCCTTCCCTGTGGGGCTGCGGGCTCTGGGGGCTGAGTTAGCAATGCTCAGCATCAGGCCGGGGACACCCCAGCACCCCACAGGGACACCTGCAAGGTGCATGACCCAGGGGAGGTGACAATGCCAGGGAGGTGTCCCAAAGCTGCCCGGGGTCCAGCGGCAAAGTCCCAGCCTTGGCATGGAGGGGGCTGCAGACTAAAGAGGGGAGAGTGGTAGGGGGACAGATGCTGAGCCCAGGGTCCCGGAGGACAAAAGGCCACCCTGGAGGCAGGGCAGGCGGGCGGGGACAGCGGGCAGCATTCCCGCGGGCAGCAGCTCCCACTGCCGGCAGGAGCGGCCGGAGAAGGCAGCGCTGCCATGCTACCGCCCTCACCATCGGGCCGTGCTCCCAGCGCTCCTCACAGAAAGAATCGGGCATTTTGGAAATGAAGATCCCCGCGGGGTCACTGGGCTCTGCAGAAAGGCTCAGCCCCGGACACTGGTGCCTGCGGGTGAGGAAGCAGCTCCAGCAGCACAGCACCTCTGGGGCACACATCCCACCCCAGGACCCTAGTCCAGCCCTGCACAGGCTTCCCGAGGCTGTGTGTGCCATGGGTGCCCAGGCAGGGGGTGGCACCCCGTGGCAGGGTTTTGCCTTCCCGTTGCCAGGCTAGTGGCAAACACAGGCGGTGGGGCCAGTTTGGGACAAAGCTGTGCCCCACCACAGGGGAAATTGGTTTTGGTCAAACCCATTGGCCCAGGTGGACAAGGGCCGTGTGCCTGGGTGGATCAGGATCCAGCTGTGTGGGGTTCCAGCTGTGCCCTGGCGTGCCAGGGTGCCACCGTGCCTGCCTGTGCTGGGGTGAAGCCCCTGGGTGCAGGCAGGGCAGAGCTGGCTCCTGGTGGGCTCAGCGTGCTCCCTCCAGGGCCGTGCCAGGGCTGGGGCTGGCCCAAGCTGTCCTGCCACCCAACACACAGCGCTGGCCTGGCCCACCTGCCACGGGGACGGGAATGCTGCCGTCCCAGAGCAAGCTCTGCAAAAAGCTTCTATGGGTGGGAGGGGTGGGCTTGGCTCTGTGCACAGCGGGGGTGCCCCTGGCACTGCTCAGAGGCAGCGACCCCTCGGGCTGCCTCTGCTGCTCCTCACACCCACACACACCCCCACGCATCCTGCCTGCCCTCCTGCCCCACTCCAGCCCCTCCCAGCCCCTGCTCTTCAGCCCTCACATCCCTCCCTGACGCCAGCAGAGCTGTGTCCCATTGAGGGGCTGTGCCCAGCTGCCCTTGGCCACTTCTGCCCATTGCTGGGCACCCCAGCTCAGCACAGGCAGGGTTTGGGGCAGGGGAGCCCTTGGTGACAGGGGCTGTGCATCTGCTGTGCTGACACCAAGGGCAGCACCAGCCCTGCCAAAAGCCCACCTGGATCCAGGAACAGGGACACAGAACCATTAAGGTTGGAAAATATCTTTTAAGTCATCAAGTCAAATGTCAACTCAGCAGCACCACGTTCACCACTAACCTATGTCCCCAAGTGCCACATCCACACATTTTTTGAACACTTCCAGGGATGGTGACTCCACCATGGCCCTGTGCAGCCTGTGCCAGGGCTTTACAGCTCTTTCAGTGTAACATTTTTTCCTAATATCCAACCTATCCCTTGGCACAACCTGAGGCCATTTCCTCTTGTCCTGTCACTTGCTGCTCGGGAAAAGAGACCAACCTTCACCTCCCGACAGCTCCTTCCAAGGAGCTGTGTGGAGCAGTAAGGTCTCCCCTCAGGGAAGGCAGATCTGCAATCAGCAGCGACACACATGGATGGGAAACGTGTTTCCCTGTTCCCAGGGACCTTCGGCACCGCGACAGGGAGCGGCACCGTCAGGGAGAGCAAAGGTCTGACGGGGATGAGCCAGAGCCCGGCACGCCACCCGCGCTCCAGAGGCAGGAGGTGGCAGTCACCCAGCAGAACCCCGGGCACCTTGGGAAGGCGGGCACGGCCGGGGAGCGCCCAGGGGCTGTGCACGGAGCTGCCCGGCTCATCCGAGCCCTGCCGGGTCTGGGGCCCAGCCTGCCCCCTGCCCTGCCGGCCCCGCTCCTGCTGCTCCGGTTTAATCATTGCCCGCCTGCCCGGCAGCACCGCGGCGCTCCCGCCTCTGCCGTGGCCCCGGGGCTGGGCAGAGCGAAGGGCAGCGGTGACACACGGCACATGTGGCACCGTGCCCCGCCCTGCCCGCCGAGCCCCCGGCCCGCTGTGGCCCTGGGCTGTGCCGAGCCACCGCACACCCTGGGGACACTTTTCTGTCCCCGTGCGTGTCCCGCAGAGCCCGGGCAGCCCCCGCTCCGGCTCTGACGTGTCCCCTGGCCGCCACACGCACGGGGCAGGGCTGGCGACGCGAAAGCAAACAAGGGGTGGATCTGCCCGTCCCCGCTGCGGCCTGGCACGGAGAACAAGGCAGCTCCTTGTGCAGGGCGGGCACGGCGCGGCTCTGTCCCTGCCAGCCGCACGGCCCCGGCTCCCACCGCCCCGGGACCTGCGCCAGGCACGGGGGGCAAAGCTCTGCCAGGCCACTGCCACCCCGGCCCGGAATACCCCGGGTGGGGGGGATTGCAAGGGACATGGGCTCCCAGGCCGTGGCAGGCCCCTGGGGTGGGGTCCCAGCAGGGGTGGGCTCCCCGTGGCATCTGTGTGGTGGCACCCGAGCACTGCTGGCACCGAGCTGGGCTCAAGCAGTGGGGGAATCCAAGCCGTGGTGGGCTCCCACTGCTGAGGGACGCCCAGGGGGTCACAGCCAGCCCGGGCAGTGTCCCAGAGCCCACCCAGCTGCCCAGCCAGGAACTTCCCTTTGCCAGGCCCTTCCTCAGCCTCTCCCAAAGACTCACGAAGTCTTTCCAGACAGGACAGTCATCCAGCTTGGCAGGGCTGGGCTGAGCACCAGCCAGCATCCCAGACAGGCGGGAGCAGCCTGTGCTGGGAACGCCTGGGCACTGCTGGACCCGGGCTGGCACTGCTGGACCCAGGCTGGCACTGCTGAACCCCAGCTGGCACTGCTGGACCCGGGCTGGCACTGCTGGACCCGGGCTGGCACTGCTGGACCCAAGCTGGCACTGCTGGGCCCGGGCTGGCAGTGGGGCACCAGGCAGCAGCCAAAGAGCTCAGCATGAGCTGCTGCTGCCACGAGTCAGCAGGGCAACAGTTATGCCTGGTTTGGAGGCTTTAGCACTGCCCTTACACACCCATCAGGGAAAGCAAGAAGTGACACGGGAATCCCAGAAAAGCCTGGGAGGAAGGAAGAGGCACACCTCGGCAGGGCAGGAGAGGGCTGTAATTTTATTTGCAGCACCCTGAAGTCATCTGCAAACACAGGCGCTCCTCTGAAGCCCCGGTCCTGCAGAGCAGGCAGTCCTGCAGCAGCCAGGGAGCAGAGCAGCTGTCCTGGGACACCAGCACAGGGAGGGCTGCCAGCACCGGGGAGGCACGTCAGCACCACGGCGGGACATCAGCACAACAGCGGGCTTGTTCCAGCCGATGGCAGCAGCCCCAGCCGAAAGCCCAGCCTGGAGGAGCCCCAGCACACCGGGAAGAGCCAGGCGGCTCCTCCCACCTTCCTCCAAGCCCTGGGAGCTGCAAAAGGCCAATGCTGGGTCTCTGCATCCCCAGCAAGGCGCCCAAGTGCTGCCCCACTGCTGGAGCTGGGCCAGCCCTCTGTGCTGGACCTGTCTCTGGGATGCAGATGGCACAAGAGGTTGTGCCCAGCACCCCACAAGGCTGGCAGGAGGAAGAGAATGGGGCTGGGAGTTTCCTGGCACTGGGATGTTAATACCCACATCCATGCTGTGCCATCAGGTGCTGCCCTGGAGCCTGGCCCAGCGCTCTGCCATGCTTTGGCTGTCTGACTTTCCTGTTTCCATCACTCTGCCCCATGCGTGAGGAGGGTCAGCGTCCAGATGGAGTATGATGCAGGGGCCAACAGCACCCCTGTGATGCTGTGGGAGGGGGGAGGACTCACTTCTGGGCAGGTGGGTCCCTGTGCCAGCTGGAGGCTTGTCCCTGGCTCCTCTCCCCTGCTCCAAGACAGTGACGATGATGTCCTCCTCTTCCATGCACACAGGGCTGCAGCATCCAAAGCCAGCCATGAGCAGGTGGGCACTGCCCAGCCCTTCCCAGGGTGGAGGTTCCCAGCACAGGGGCACTGGCAGGGGCTCTGTGCAGGATCCCAGGCTCATCTCCAGTGATGAGATGAGTGCTGCCCCATCTCCAGTGATGTCACTTCTTGGTGGCCCCTGTCCTGGCACACATTGTCCTCAGGGCTCCTGAGCCCATCATCAGCACATCTGGCTGCAGAGTTCACAGGTAAAAAGCAATGTCAGTCCTGCCAGTGCCAGCTCTGCCAGGGGTGCCCAGGCCAGCACCATGTCCCTGTGGGGTCACCTGGCCCCATCCCATGGTCACACGTCCCGTGTGTGCAGGGAGAGCCCTTAGGAGATGACACAGCAGCACTTGGGGCAGCAGGAGCACCACCTGCAGCAGCCACATCTCCTGCCAGCCCCCTGCTCCTGGCCCTTGGGTGGCTTGTCCAGGGTCACAGTGTAGAAGGAGGCAGATGAGTCCCCATTGGGCACCCTCAGGCTGGCGTAGGGGTTGTAGGGACGGGACCAGGACTTGTCTGTGGAGATGGTGGGGCTGTTCCAGCCGTTGGCAAGCTCTGTGTGCCCCTCGGTGCCGTAGGAGGGCACGGCCGCAGGGTTGGCAATGATGGTGGGCTCGTCTCTCAGGTAGCGAGTGATGAAGCTCTGCTGGAACTGCTCCCGCGGGATGTTGACGCTGGCATAGGGGTTCTCCACGGTGACTCCCCGATCCATCTCCCTGCCCCTTGTCAGACACGAGGCCTGCCTGGCACTGCCCACCCCTGCGGGACAGAGCCCCCGTCACCCCGGCTGCCGGGGGTGCTCTCACAGCAGCGGGGGACCCCCGGCTGACCCCACTGGTTTGGGTGCTGGCTGCAGAGCTGGGCTCCCCACTCCCTGCCAGCCCCAAGGGACCCCACAAGGGACACACGGACCCACCAGAGCCAGGAGGGGAGCAGGAGGGTGAGCGGGGCACGGGGGGGCAGCAAGGGATGCTGAGTGGGGCAAAGAGTGCAGGTGGGGCAGTGGGGTGGGGATCTCTAGGGACACAGAGCAGGAGGGAAAGAAGTGGGGACAGGAGCGGGAGGAAGTGGAAAGGCAGAGGGAAGGTGGGACAGGACAAAGGCAGTGGGGACAGGGACTGGGGACGGGACAGGCGGCGGGAGATGGCGAATCGGGACGGGGGGCGCAGAGGAAGAGGGAGGGCAGGCAGGGGCACGGGCGCAGGGGGGAGCGGGCAGGGCACGGGCGCGGTGGGGCAGCGATCCCCCGGCACTCACCGAGCGCGGCTCCGGCCGCCGCGGGGCCGCTCTGCCCCGGCCGCGCTTCCTCCTGCACGGACCGCCCCGAGCGGCGCCGCCCCGAGCCACCGACAGACAGACGGACCGGCCCCACAGACAGACAGACGGACCGGCCCCGGGACAGCGGGGCAGGAACGCCCCAGAGCCAGCACCCGCCCACTGCCCAGCCCCAACACCAACCCCCCAGCCCAGCGGGGAACTGGGCACTGCACAATGGGCACTGGAACTGGGGGCTTGGCAGTGGACATGGACACTGCTCAGGGGCCACTGGGACCACAGCTGGACAGGGACACTTGGCACTGGACAGGGGCATTGGGCACCAGGCAAGGCCATCAGTACCGAGGCACCAAACCAGCACCAGGCACTGGGCACCAGGAGTGGGTACCAGCACCAGCATGGGCACTGGCACCAGCACCACACAGCAGGCAGTGCCACTATGCACTGTCACCAGCACCAGGACCGGGCACTGACACCAGTACAGCCACCAGTGCCATCCACAGGCACCAGAGCAGGCACTGTGTGCCATGCACCGGGCACTGAGCTCTGGACACTGGCACCAGCACTGGCACCACACTGGTTCTGGGCAGCAGGCAGCAACTGGGAGGGGGGCACTGCACTCCACAGGTCTGTGGGCACAGCAAACCCCGAGCACCTGGCACTGGGCAGAGGGCACAAGCGCCCTGCACATGTCCTGAGCACCGGGCAGGGCACACCAGCTCTGCACCCCCCTGCCAGGCTCTGCCTGCCCCCATGGGCACCCAGGGCCCTGCAGCCCAGGGTCCCACAGCCCCTGCCAGGCTCTGTCCGCCCTGTCCAGCCCTGAGACCTCAGTGCCAGGGCTCTGCAGGGCTCACCCCTGCAGCACAGCCTGGCTGAGGTGTGCCCCCCAACAGGACCTTTTCCAGGGTGGGTTTGGGAGTTTCCAGGGCACCACTGGTTGGTGACACCACGAGGCTGGATGGAGGGAGGACGTGGCTGTGCCAGGGTAAGGAGGGGGGTGCTGGCACCTGTGCCACTCCCTGGCACCAGAAGTGATGCAGTAGAAAAGATGCAAACATTCAGCACCCTCCACCCTGCCCCGTCCACGTCCCTGCCGTGTGACTCTGCTGTGATATCCCCATCACAATTCCCATCCCCAAGGCCCCCACGGTGGCTTGTGCAGAGCCTCAACACCTTCCCACAAGCAGTTCTGTGCAGAACCTGCCCCTCCCCTGAGCCTCAGGGATGATGGCACAGCATCCTCCTGGACAGGCCGGGGACAAACACCTCAAATTACAGCTGAACCCTGCTGGGAGTGAATTACATTTCCCACACACTTCGCAAAGGGAAAAGCCACTTCCTTCTGGCCATCCTTCTAACAACAGAAAATATTTCTCCCTGTCCTAAGGAGCAGGGCTGCCCAAGCCAGCCCCTTGGCACCCATGGAACAAGCAGGAGAGCTCAGAGGGCGATGGGAGCCTGCCTGCCCCTGGCAGCACTGCCCCTGGCATGAAGCTGCCAGCACCTGCTGCTGTCCCCAGCTCCCTGCCCTCCCTTGGGGCTGATCCCTCTGGCCCTGAGCCCGCTGGCAGCCCCCAGAGTGGGGTTTCCCTGCAAGGAGACTCAGCAGCCTTCCAGGTGGTGGAGGAAAAGGAAGATGGAGGCCTGGGATTTTTGGGGGGAGAAGCTGACCCTCCTCTGAGCAGTTCTAGCATCGAGAGAGGGGCCTCATGCACTGCTGTGCCTCAGTTTCCCCTCCAAGGACTGCGAGGGGGATGCAGCAGAGCACTCTCTGTGTTGTGACTAATCAGCACACAGCTCTCGGGTTTGAAGCCGCAGAACTCCTGCACAGACCCCTCAGGGCTTTCTTGCCACCCCAGGGTCACCTGGAGGAGAGCCACCAGCAGCCCCTGTCCCTTCACCGGGCCTCTCTGCTGCCGGGTTTTCCCCTCTTGAGCTGTTTCCCCACAGAAAAACTCATCAGTCTGACTAAGCAGGAGTGGGAAAAGGCATCGTGCCCCGGGTGTCCCGCGGTAACCCAGCCCCGCCCGGCCGCGCCCGGCCTGTCCCTCCTGCCTGCGCAGGGGATGTCGCTGTGGCTCTCTCCAGCAGCACTTTCCCCCTCCTCGCAGAGCCCCACGACCGGCTGGGTTTGTCTTTTAGCCCCAGATTTCCATGCCCAGCCCTGTTCCTGAGCAGCTCTGCTTGCAGGGAGCTGCGAGGATGCACGTCAGGCACAGCCCGGCTCTGGGGACCCTGAGAGCCTGCAGCCCCCTGTCCTGACCTTCCCTCTCCCAGGGGCTGCCACAGGAGCGTCACCTCACAGAACCTCGGGTGGGGACATCCCAACGCTGCCCCCGGGGCTGCAGACCGGGCCGGCGCTCGGAGCAGGGTCAGCCGCGATCCGAGGTGCCGCCGTGCCCGGGCTGTCCCTCGGCTCCCTCGGCTGTCCCTCGGCTGTCCCTCGGCTGTCCCTCGCTCTCTCGGCACCCAGCCGTGGCAGCTCCGATCTCGCAGGTCTCCTGGATACCCTCAGCCCCCGCATGGCAGACCTGTGGCAGCCCCAGATGAGGAGAGGTGTCACCAGCCAGGAGCAGCAGCACCTAATCTGGAGCCGGGAGTTCAAACGTCTCATTTTTTGCCAAGAAATTCTCCAAATGGAGCTCCAAGGGCCACATCCGGAAATCATGTGTTGATACTTGGAGGATTTATAGATGATGGAGGATCCTCGGGTGGAAAAGTTGCTGCGTCAAAGCTCCAGCTGCTGGTTTGGAGTTGTCCCATGTGGGATTCCCCAAGCTGGGAGCTGGCAGGTGCAGCAGAGCTGTGCCCTCCTTGAGTAAATGGAAGAGTTGAACTAATGTGAGGCTCTCTGCGGCTTAAAACCAGCCTAATTTCCTGCAATTGTTTGCAGGGGGAAAAGAAATAAACAGAAAAAAAACCAACCAAAAGCTCAGTGCCCACCCTGGAGATGTCCTGTTCTGGGGGTGATGGAGAGAGAGGTTCTCAGAGATGCCACACTACTTCCAGAGGAATGCTTTGGGGAGGAACCTGGGAAAAGCAGGAGAGAGAGGGAAAAAGCCAACCGTGGTGCTGGCTCGTGAGCTTGCTGGGAGCCTGAAAAAGAGGAGGGAGCCCCGTGGAGGGGGCTGGGCTCCCAGCAGGGGCTGCAGGGGCAGGAGCATCCCCAGGCCTGGCACATGAGCCAGGAGGAAAGTGCTGGCTCAGGAATTCTCAATCCCACTGCATGGGCTCCACGGCAGGGCACCCAGAGCCCCTGACCTGTGTGACCCAGCACGAGCTGTTGGGAGGTTTTGCAGGATTCCAGTAACTGCAGGGATCCCCTGGGATGCCTTAGCTCTCTGCACACAGCACACACACAGCAAAAGGCACATTTATTTTGTAAAAAACCATCCAAACAAACAAACCAATCAGAAAGCCACAGGCACGTCCTGTTCCTGGGCCTCTTTTTGCAGGGGACGGATATTTGTGTGGCATCCCAGCCCCCAGCTCCAGCTCCTCGCGGGGCTCTCGCAGGCACCAGAATACAGAACTCCCGATCGGATGGGTTTGAAAGCAGCTCGCTGGGGCTGCCGGGCGGTGCAGTGCCTGGCGCAGGCACAGGAGGGTGGTGATGCTCTGTGCAGCCCGTCACTGCCGGCGGATGGGGAAGGGAGACGCTTCCTAGAGAGAAGGTTTTGCCACCCGCGGAGGGGAGAGCTCGGCGAGCCCCAGGGCAGATGTGGCCGCTCACCAAACCTCGGGGGCTGAAGGCTTCGCTGAAGCTCAGGAGAACCCGTGGGTGGTCGGTGTGAAGAAAGGACATGGGGAGGGGCTGGGCCAGTGCAGAGATGGGAGTGCAACCCCCAAATTCAGGCTGTGTGAAACACATGGGGGATGATTTCCTCCGGGATATCGCAGGTCTCCCACCGGGGAACTCAGCCGTGCGAGGTCTTCTTCAAGGCTTTGACCTTAATTCTCAGCTGCCTCCTCATTAAAATCAGAGTGAGGCCCGGGGGCACGGAAGGAGAAATCACAGGGAGTGGGAGGCACCCGTGGGCTGAGCATCCCAAAGGGGAACCCACAGAGCAGTGTCACCCACTGAGGGGGGGCTGTGGGTATGAGGGTGCCGTGCAGGGGATCCCAGTGGTGCAGGTCTGAGGGGCACAGAGCAGGACCCAGGGCTAAAGCTGCCAGGGACATGGGGCTTGGGAGCTCATGGAAGCTGCAGGATTTGGTGCTCTGTGCCCTTGAGCAGCACAGCCTCTCACTAACACCCCGGGATGGAGAACTCCAGCACAAAAGCCAGCCTGTGTCCCCAGGCTGTGCTCAGCACCCCACGTGCAAAGATCCTGCCTGTTGCTGTCCACGTCTGCCCGGGGCATGCAAGGAGCTCCCACAGCTCCTGGCTCCCTCTCAGGGGAAGCCATGTGTCCCAAAGGATTGCAGCAGCTTCTAAAGCCCAAATGGAGCCTGGAAGCCACCTGCTAAAGCTGCTTGGTGGGAGCCAGAACGTGTCCGTGCCTCGGGTCAGCACCTGTGTGCACAGCGGGCTGTCCAGCCCCGGCAGCCCCTGCAGCAGGCCGGGCCCTGCTCCGGGCAGCCAGCTCTGTGCCCAGGGGCAGCACAGGCTGCTCGGCAGCAGGGGCTCTCCCTGGCAGCACAGCCCGGCCCCGAGCGGGCTGGCAGCTCCGCAGAGCCCAGGGAGCCCTGCCAGCGCCATCCTGCTCGCCATGCGCTCTCCCGGTGTGACATCCCCGCCACCCTGCAGGCTCACGGCTGGCGACACGGATGCACAGCTGGGGCACCGTCCCGGCCGGTGCCCGCGGGGACAGGGACGCTGCGGAGGCACACCCGCGGTGAGCCGGGGCTGTTCGGAGCCCGTGCTGCTGTCAGACCCCTGTGCGGGACTGCTGCAGAGCCCAAAGCCTCTCCAGCTCAGTGCCAGGCTCTCCCCGTGGCGGGGGGGTGCCGCGTTCCTCAGGGATGACGAGTTGGACACATAACCCGGTGTCCCGGCTGGCACGGCCGCACCAGCATCACAGGAGTGGTGCCTGGCCCGCTGCCGGCCCGTCCCCGGGCTGCAGGAACCAGAGGGGAGCCGGTTTCCTTATCGCCCTCCCGCAGCCCCCTCCGTCCCTCTCCCCTGCGGCTCCCGGCCCGGCCGGCCCCGGGTCACGCCGGGGCTTGGCAGCGGCGGGGGGAAGCGAGCATTGTGGCTGCCCACTGCGGCCCGGCTGGAGGAGAAAGCAAGGATTTCCTGGCCTGGAGCAAGTCCTTTCCGTCTCCTCCCAGCTGCCGGGAGCCTTGGGGCTGAGGGTGGGCTGCTCCCAACAGGGTTCGGACCAGGAGCCAGGGGCTGCCCCTGCACGGAGCTGCTGCAGAATGTGCAAGGAAGCAGGAGGCAGAACGGATCTGGGCACTTCTGTTGGCAGTGCCAAAATCTCCCCCTC